ACACTAGAAAAAAAAAACTAATGACAAACGCATGCTACATTCCCTGGGTGAAGCTTAAACGAATTAGGGTCTCCCAAACATCAAGAAATCGTTGGACCACCACAGCTCCACTGCTTGGTACACAATTCGTTCACCGTGTCCATTTGTCATAATCAATGACTTTTTTTGTTGCGCAAACCATTCAAAGTATTTTAACTGCAAGTCTAAACAATATAAATTTCACAATAGAAAAAACATTACTTAATAATAATATAAAACATAAACTATTAATATGTTTAAGTTCGGCAGCCGTTAATGTGAATTAATAATTAATCGATTGCGAATTCACTTCGATTCCTCCAGTTTAATTAAATCTAACCCGGGGGATTAAAAATTGAATAAACCCCAAATGCTAATGCGACCAAAGAGATATTTCATACTTATATTTATATTATTTTAACTGTGTAAAGTCAAAGCGAACGAGTTTTAACCAAACCGATGAATAAATTTTGTACGGGGAAGAGCGACGCAACGGGTCGTAAATAATATTTATTTAAATCATTGTGCTATCGGATTGTACACATAAATAGATCAAATAACATTATAAATTATGTATAGTGCTTTTTTCCCCGAAAACAAACTAATAAACAATTTAAATGGACATTTTTTGCAATTTGTTATAAAATAATAGATTTTTAGCAAACTAGTCACATAGTACCCAAACACGAAATTAGAAATTTTTAAAATGATTAATTGTAATTGTACAATATTACATATTTTATTAATATTTATAAATTATTATTGATATGATGTAAATATTGATACATAAAGAACAATTTAAATATTACTCTACAAAAAATGTAGTGTACTATTAGCAAGATGTAATCGTTAGTATTATCCACTATTGTATATTCAACAATATATCTTATTACCTTGATAAAACGATTATCCATTAAACAATAAACATCATCAAGCTTAACAGGCCTTTAACAACAGGTGGATACTTACAATTGGTGTTATGGATATAACGAACCCGAGGCCCCGAGCTACGTACGGAAAGTGACGTTCCCATCGCCCAACATAATTCAAAGTGTGCTGCAGTAGACACCGGTCGAGGGAGATCTGGTCTTCCTGGCTGGGGGTTGAGTTAGACTCGACAATTCTACCTTATAAAAAACGTTACGCAGAAGACAAAGGGAAACCACTGCATTATTATTCCCATACGAGCAACTATGCCCTCTTTAATAATATCAGCAGTACTAATATTAAACTCACACCCAAGATTCGACAGGAGGAGAAATCGGAAGAGGCCGACTGAGAGATACAAATCAGGGAAACATAAATAATAAATAGTCCCTACCAATTTATGAGACAGTGGCAATATTAGCAGGGAAAAAACAGAATGGTAGAACCGACAAGGCGAAGCCTTTAGATAAAAAAAAATATATATACATATTTGTATGACTGTATGATATAATAAAATAAAAAATACGTTATGGTATATTAATAAATCCACTATTAATTATTAAATGATTTATTTGTACTTTGTTACCAGAAATATGGCAATAATTATCAATTTAAAAATAATATCCTACATAATATAAAATCAGGTTTACAATATCACTTATTGTAACTACAAGAGTAATAGTTTGCATTTAATTAAGGTTCTCTATATGGCAAAAAATATTTTATAATGTTGACAATTATTTAAGAAACAAGAAATATTATCTATTTATAATATAAATCTTGTCGACTGAATATTAAAAAGTATATTGTTAACCCATTTAGCTATTAATCAATTCGTTCGTTTTTTCAGTGTACATTAAACATTTTTTTTTTGTAAATTTATGAATTAACCGCGTTAATAGTTTTTATCAAATTACACTATTATAACAATTTTAGCAGTAAGGATATCGAATTAACGACAATTCGACAATAGTAATCATATAAATTATTACATTCGTTATAATTTTGATTATCGACAACCATTAAGCGATTAAATGTATTGTTTATGTTAATTTCTAATGGATATACAGCTATAGAACATTAAACTAGAATGTTTGAATTGGCGGGCACATGAGTTAAATCCCCAAACTAATATTGTTACAAACTTTAACAAAATACAATAGCAAATACTAGATCGACTTCACAATGCAACAACCCTATTGTTATTTCCGTTTATGATTTAAAACTTCTATAAATTGTTTTAGTGAAAATGTATCGTGGATATACATACAGTTTTCATTTAACTGATTAAATAAAATATGTCATTAGATAAATGTAATGAATGGTGAGCAACAATCACTTAAACCAATAATATTGCGTTAGATTTGTAAAATTTGTTTTGTTTGCAAGGGAAGTCATACCAATAACAACAGAAAAATGCCCTAAATACAACTGAGGTAATTTGTATAGTGCATTAATTATGTTATACAAAATAATTTATTTTATTACATTTTATATTTCGAACACCTCAATTATTACATTAATACAATTATTACACACAATTATAACAATCCGAAAGGTAGAAATTGTTTATCATAAACATCATCACTGTTCTATTATGTCAATATCAACTTTTATATTATGTTTTACTCCCAAAAATCAACTAGGTATTTGTTTATCTGACTTGCTGTGTGTAGCATCCAAAACCACAATGTTATTATTTTACAAAAACATGTCCCACAAAAAACAACGATTCCGCCACGTAGAATACACGGATTTTGATAATTTTTTTAAAATTTTGTTTTTTTTAAATAACATAAATTTTAGAATTCATCACAATTAGTTACTAGAGGCCGATTTTTTAGCTTCGATGTGGAGCTAGGATAAGATATTGTTCTTTCAAAAATATGCGTTCTTTTTTTTTTATGTCTCGATATACCCACAAAATGTTTTAAGCCACTGAAATGATTTCTTTATGTCTAGAAGTGGGCCAATAAATAACAAGCGTAGTTTTAGTCTCAAGGTCTGAAAATTAGCCTGAAAGTATACCTAACAAATAACCTTTATATAGGTGTATAAAATATATACCTATACGTATATTTTATCACCTAAAGATCTGTATTGGAGCGTTTAATTTAAATGATTTTATTGATTTCATTGAAAATAATTCTTAAAAACCTGTTACCTATCCGACACTACCACGCTCCGTCTCTATTATGTTTCAGCTTCATTGTGCTGACTTTTTAAAAATGTAATTCCCATTTCTACCAAAAATCTTTAGAAAAATAAAGTTTGTAAAAAAATGCATTAAAATTCAAAAGGCTTTATGTGGTTAGCATAATTCCATTCCATCTGAAAAATATAATAATAATAATAACACAATCATTACAATATGAATGTACACTACACCAAACAGACTAATTTTTAGTCTATTATAGATCTAAAGTAAAAATGAATGTTATATTAGACTCACGTCTTACTCCGGCTATCTCTGCAAACTTTTAAATAACACTATTTATGTGAAAATTCAACGTATATAAAGATTACACTTTTTCACTGGTAACGAACGTAGTGGAAAATAACGTTTAAAAAATTTAAGTTCTGTTATAACTTTCATTGCACATTATTTGTACCTAAATTGTATCATTTTGTAACAATAATATAAAATAATTAAATATTTAAATAAACCCTTACACACAAAAATAGTTCTCTGTAGCATATTTACGTATTTCAGAAGCAATATTCCCATCATCAGCGCATACAATAGACTGAACAATTTTCAGTGGCGGATCCAGGGGTTGTCCGAGGGGGGGGGGCGAATTTTCGTTTTTTGTAGGTATAATAAAATTACCTTTTTTGTTTTTACTTTTTTTAATTGTCTACAAAATATGTTACAATGTATTCATTATTTTGATTAGTTATTTTTTAGTTAATCATTATTAATTCAGTTTAATTTTGACCCAATAAACTTTCATAGAAAATAGCTACAACAAGTTTGTTTAAATTCAAATACATACCTATAATTAAGTAAAGTACAATACTCAGATATTTATAATATAAAATCAATGTCTTTTTTTTTCTATAGCAAATCTTTCAATAATATCATCTTCATTTAAGGGGATTCGATATTGGCCGTTTTTTTTTTCAGTCAAAACACATCATTTTTTTCCATCGCACGGGCCGAACCAGAAATCCGATAAGTAATTTCAACACAGATTTGAATTCGCCACGAAATTTACTTAGGATCGGTCAGGGTACTTTTTTCAATTTTTAATTTTAACCATTCCAAATTTGATTTTAAAATTTAAAATTTTAAAATTTTATAAAAAGTACGCTGACCGATTTCAAGTAAACTTCATAACGAATTCAAATCTGTTTTTAGCGACGGAACAAAAAATTTACTATTATATTAAAATGGCTTTTACTCATAGACAAAATGATTTAAATTGAAAATAATACCATGAAGCTTATACAAATTAACAGGTAAATTAATTGACATGGTCGAAATTTATTACAACCACTTTTTTCTTGGGCCAAAACTCGGGCCAAGGGGGGGTGGGCGATCGCCCCAACGCCCCCCTCAAATCCACCACTGACAATTTTTGGTTGTTTTTCTAGTTCAACATAACATTTTGAGATGTCGATGATGAACAATAAGTTTTAAGTTTCTAATTTTTAATTCTCAAACAATTTCAGTTAATTTTATGATAGTCTAAACGTATTTCTTATAAATTAATAGACTTATATCGCTCTTACTCTAATACAATTGTATTATTGTAATATTATCAACAAAGATAATCTTAAATATTTTATTCATTATAACATTATTGAATATACCTTTGTTTTTGCTTATTTAGCGAAAATAATAATAATAATATGGTTAACGAGAGTTCCCCCGTACCTGCATTTAAACAAAGTACCTACCTATCTCGCTAAATTTCAAACTTATTCGCCTTTTTTGGTAAACACAGTTGTAACTCTCTTCCTTGTCTCGTTTTTTTCTCACCGCTGACATCTTAGACGTTTAATAAGAATATTTTTTATTAAACGTAATATGTAATAACAATAATAATTACTTGAGTTGTTCGCATAACAAAGGAGTTTAAAGTCAGCAGTTACGTTTCCTTATCTGAAACAAAAATCAAATTAAATTAGTTTTCTTTAATAATAATATCGTTGTACGTTTCGATTGTAGTATACAAACAATTTAAGTAACAATTTAGGAATGCAATTTTGTTTTTTAGCTCAAACTCCATTTTGGGTCACTCTAAGAATAATACTACTAGGTTTTAATGTTTACCTTACTGTTTACTATTATGATAAATCTATGAGTGACCAAAACTATTTTTTTAAGCTATTATAAAACTGTCTTTATAATGAATTCGTAAGTAACCATTTCGAAGAAAAAAATGCATTATCTAATTTTTTCCATTATTTTTATCTAAAACTTAAGTTCTTGAAAAAAACATTTTTTTAAATGATAATTTTATTAAATATCTACTGAAATTTTTTTTTTGTAAATTTATTAAATTTTAAAATTGTAGGTATTTGACTATATAATATATTTATATTAAAAACTTTCATTTGAAATACAAAAAATCTTTAATTAAGTTAACTTAATTTATCCTATTATTATTATATATTTATATAATTTGTTATTGTTCAATACTCATACAAAAAATTATTATAATACATTTGAAAATATGCACCACAAACTTATTATTTTAAACGTATAATTAAATAAAACAATTTAGATATTTCTAATAAGTAATTATTTACAAATATACTCATAATTATCCAAAGATGTTTGATTTTTAAAAAAAACATAAATATGTTGTTTAGCATAGTTAATGCCTATGGAGAAATGCTACGAGCTGTACGCAATATACATGTACACTTTGCAGACCAATATTACATTTACATAAACAACTCACATTTATTATTATTTACTACACATTATAATCTTAATTAAACATGTTAGCAAAACATAAATCGTAATTTGTATATTGTTTAGTTGATTCCGCGAATTTACATTCTTAATAAGGGACTGTTATTTTATTTATGCTTGCGTAATTAGACTTAGAATCAGGTAGGTATGAAGAAGAAGTTGATGTGGAAAGAAATGACGGACTTTTGAAATTGATTCTTGACTGCAGTCTTAGTAGAATAAATGAATAAATTATCAGTAATTTTGTATTTAATTGTATCGACATCCAAGTCTGGTAGATTATAATCTAAAGCGTTTAAGTAGGTTCTAATTGACTCTCCATTTTTTTTTTCATTAGTCATCTAATACACAGCAAACGCGACCGAAGTTTCTAGACAACGGGGCGATGAAACGTTTATCTATATTATTGCCAGCAATAGAGGTTTGAACAACAGAACTTAGAGCTCTCGGGCATGCCAATAAAGCGTCTTTTGAAAGGACCGGCTGGTCGTCCTTTCCTACATTGCCAGTACACTCTGTTGGCCCGTCCTAAACAGTAATAATAACGCGATAATATTTTACATTATAAACCAGTGTAGTACCGGCGAGTACGTTTAACGACTTTGTAGTAAAAAACGTCTTTTGACTCGTCGATATGAACAGTGTCGTTGAGTGCAAAATGTATCGGAACGATCGAGGGAAAAAAAATTCAGATGTTTGCGCTACAACTATTAGTTACATTCTATTTCCGAAACATGACAGGCACAACAGTTGGACAGCATTTTGAAATCATCCATAAAAGTTCATCAGCACCGAAAGCTCGATCCAGCCGGCTCGATTAAAACCGTATAACAATGTATACATTTGCTATTATTTTTTTTTTTTATGTCGTTTGATTTCCGGCATTTTTCATTTTAAACCCAAAGCGTATAATGACAGGTCGAGCCGAAAAAAATGATACACAGTCGGTAGACGGTGGGTGGGAGGGAGGGTACCTTTTAAAGGAATAATCGCAATATTGCTTTTTGTATTTCTTGTCGTTGAATGTTGCCGGAATTAAATCCATAACGCGGCGGACGCCCTTCGGAGTTCAGCTATACACAATATAAGCCGCCGGTGTGCCCCCATAACGTTTTTTACTTGTCAAAGACGTTAAGACGTTAAGCGTGCATACCGTGCGTGCATAGGCAAATGCGCCTATCAAACATAGCAGTCGTGCACGTATACAGCATAATATTATGTGCGTTTTGGTGGTGGGTTCAAGGCAATGACCGTCGGTTTCCTCTTTAATCGCCGTCGCTCGCACGCGCTAATAATAACGTCCAGCCGTATATATTCAAACAATAAAAATATAACAATATAAAAAAAAATAGGTTTAAAAAAAAAAAACATGAATTAAGTTCAATTAAGTACGCATGTGTGTGCATGTGTTACAGGCCCGTCGACTACACCGAAGGACATATTTTTTTTCATCCAGCGAGCAGCCGACTTTGGTGTGTAAATACTTTTTTAAAATGTAAACCAAAAACCAAACAACAATCGAGATTAAATTGGTTTAAAACAAAATTAATAATCATTAGACATTATGAAAAGTGACCATAATAATTGGGCGAAAAAACTCCTAGATATGAATAATACTATTGTGTTAGCACTGTTAAGCAATTTAGAACGGCAACAATAATTGTATAATAAAATTAATGAACAACTTGCAAATGTTTATAACATTTACTTAGCATTCACACATTTAATTTGTTTCTGAAACTAAATGTCGCGCATATAGAATTGCTCAGAAAATCGTTATGTGTTAATATGTTTATGAGGAAATATGTGTTAGGGGTTACTTTTAATAACAAAAATTGTTGAGTTCAGACTATTATTCCTCATATCCTACTATTACAATCAGACTAACAATAAATGTAAAACTGCGACCAAAACAAACAATATACATAAACACCGAAAAATGTCTTTAGGCGTACAAGATGTTAATTTTTTCTTCGGTTTAGACTTATCGTTTGATCAAGATAGTTATAACTCGTAATGAAATGCCAAATAAAGTAGATTTTTATTATCAGTTGAAAAAACTAGTTTAAGGACGTGTTAATTTGTTTAAACGGCTTTCACGAATTCGGCTAGAATAAATATTTTAGGTTTCAACAAGGTACAGACTATAATAATTTATCAGACTATAAATGGTATAATATATTTAACTGTATAGGCTGTACGCTGTACACTTTAGTAAGCACACAAAGCAGTCAACAGGAGTCTATCTAAGAAGTGTCTTTAGTCACTGAAAAACAATCAGTTTTAAAAATCAATACTTACTAGACTTTCAGTCGAACCCAAAACAGTATTTTTTTTATTATAAAACTCAAAAAACTATAGAAGTAGTGTTTTTCTATACAAAAAAACGGCGCATACAATCTATATTCTACCCCGTGTAGACGCTATGGGGTCTTTGGATGGGAAAACGTTTATCTATAATCCAAGACGTACGCAACGAGTAAAAAGAAAAAAAAATGTATATAAATATATATATATCTGTCTAGGATCTTATATTAAAAAAACCGGGATTGAAACTCGGCCAAATCTCCCGTTGGATAAAAACGACGACAATTGAAATACCTATATTATTCACTTTATCTTGTTTTCTTCTATAATAATATTCTCCTTTATTCTGTAACGCAAATATTTTCTTTGTTGTTTATTTTTTTTAACGGGCCGATATTTTAATTTTGATGTCGAGCATATTAATATATTATTTTACGAAAAATGATTCCGTCATCCACCTTCTAGTGTATTAATAGTTCCTTTTGATTTGGAATCATAATGTCCACTGAAAAACTAGCTGCTGTTATCCTATTTTTTCATACTTGAAATTTCTACTCGGGCGCGGTTCTTATTAGGATTTATTATAAAAGTGTAACCACAGAATGAATATTATTTGAATTCTATATGCTTACTGTCCTGGCCACCGTGTAATCCGCCAATTTGCCTGACAAAATGTCTTTATGACGTGGAGCTACGCCCAAACAGTGTTTATATTTATACTTACATGCACATTAATACGTTGTTAATTTCGAGTAATAATCATTTTCCTTGGCGTTGAAATAAAATTGTATAAGTCTGACCGCGTTTTTATGTAAGCTTGTAGCGTGCACGCCTATATTCGCGATGGTTAGTTACGGGTAATTTTAAAAATAAGCACTACGCGTACTTGATGAGAAAAATCTAATACTCAAAGTTGTATAACGGCACGTACATTACAATTTGTGACTGTAGCTAATATTAGCTAAACCTTAACGGCCAAAATTTAAGCTATAACGAAGATCGTAACGACCGGCAGCTGTTAGATTTTAGGCCCTTTTGAGTTATTTTTACAATATATATGTTGACATCCTATTTTTGACCACATAATCAGCATTTTTTCCATTACAAATGTACCTATTTTGTTTTTAATAAATTTCTTCGCAGTTATTTTTTCATTAAGCAATGTAATTAAATGTTGCGATTCGGTTCTTTTCAAATTTCCCCTGACATAAAAACGTCAAATACAGCTTTTATACAAGTAAATGTCTATACAAGTCGTCAACAGAAACACACTAAATGATTAAAAACACGGTTCCAAAGAGAATGCTTTTATCAGAATTCCTACACCGTCGAATGATAAATAATGCCTACACGAGCTTTGAACGCATTCCTTTTATTCTCGGTACAATTTCTTAAGTTGTAATCACTATAAAGCTTAACAGTTTTCAATAAGCAAATTATTTAAAAGAAAAAAATCACATATCAATTCCTACTCAGCTCCTAAAATATTAGGTATGTATGTGTGTATGTGTGTAAACAGTTACAGCGAAAAATTATTACGGTCTACAAATGGCTAAAGAGAACTAGCAGTTGTACCAGAAAAATGGAATGATAATAATAATAAAGATAAAGATAAAAAGCTATGTTTTTACCGAAATTACACCATAAACGTTGGACCGAAATTCCGGGTCGCGGGTTTTAAATCTGATGGGTCTTACGCTTAATCTCCGCCCATAACTCACTTCACACAATTTCAAAAACTTGGTTGCAAGATATATTGTTTAAAGAAAATAATGACACTATTAAAGTACTGGAAAAAGATAACAACCGTAATGTCTTTATTATATTATTTTATTTATAAATACAGTCTTCTGTATATCTCCAACAATGTATAG